CGGTATCACTACGGAAGTAGATTGCCCCATCTTCCTTCCAAGGAGTGGCTGCTGGGTTTGAACCACCAGCCTTCTGGTTAGCAGTCAAGTGCCTTAGCCACTATGCTACTAGAGCTCCTGTTCTTACACTACTGCCATATAAATGGTTGACTTGGTGACTTTGTTATACTGCTTCAGGTGGCCGGGGTAAGGACAATGCTTGGATAATTACATTTCCAGAAAACTGTAATTTCAGATGTATACCAGAAGAAGTAATAGCAAAAGTGCTGGTTTACTTGACATCTATTGCCAGGTAAGCATTTCATTACATTCCCCCCCCCCAATTTGTTTTATAGCAGATAACCATTGGAATGTAATAACAAGAAAATTGGCTATTAGTATGGCTATTATTATTATTATAAATAATCAGTAGATCTACATTCAGTTATGACAAAAAAATAGCACTTAGAAGAGGAAACTGACAGCTACTTAAGTTCTCTAAAAATTATACCGAGGATCTTTGGGAAAAATTGGGGATCTAGAAGTATTTGTCCCTATGAAGAACACAGGTTGAGAATGGTGGTCATACCTAAAAGAAGATCTTACCAGCCAAGAGTGGAACAGTCAATCTTCCAAGGATAAAGGAAGAAAAGAAATGTTAATTAGAATCAAAAGTTGTACTGGGAGATGGAGGAACTTATTTTTTTAAAGTTTCTTATTGTGATTTGTTTGAAAGTTTACAGAGAAAATTCACTTTCCATACAGCAGCTCATGTACACTTTGTCTCATGACATTGACTGCGATTTCCCATGATGCAACAGCATCCTTTCTACTTTCTCCCCATAGTTACCTCTTCCCTGTGTCCTTCCCTCCCATGCACTCCTGTCCCCCGAGCTGTCTCCCTGTGCATACATAGGAGATAGAGGAACTTTTTGATACTAAAAAATCATTTGACACTTAAAACAACAACAACAACAACACTGCCATCGAGTTAATTCTGACTCATAGTGACTCCAGAGGACAGTAGAAGTGCCCCCATAGGGTTTCCAAGGCTGTCAATCTTTACAGAAGCAGATTGCCTCATCTTTGTCCTGTGGAGTGGCTAGTGGGTTCGAACCACGGACCATTTTGGTTAGCAGCCAAATGCTTTGACCACAGCGCCACCAGAGCTCCTTCATTTGACACTAGAATGCTTTAAAAGGAAAATTTTCAAAAGGTTCCTTACAAAGTTTATTTATGTTGAAGATGAACTTTTTAAAGGAAACATTTTCTAGTTTCCAGCTCTGAAGACTAAGAGGGCACAAACCTAGCATTGTAAAATTGTGAAGGGTCTTGTGAACAGAAATCAAATCCCAGAGCACTAAATCTATAGTGCACATATTGAAGCTCAAAAGTGGTCTTTTTTAGGGCAAATAAAAGTCCTGTCATTCGTTAAACTGTAGTCCCTCAAGATACAGGCCAGGAACATGTATTTAGCAGTGTTTTCCAGAATGAATAGATCATTGGCTCATGATGGATTGTCATGTGAATGTAAATCAGGTGTCATGAAGGCCAAGTTTTGTCTATGAGGTTTCCCCACACCCAAGATTGCAATAGTCCAAATCCATCGGAATTACGTATCTGTATCACACTATCACTTTCCTACATAAAAGATTGAAAAAGATTTTCAATAGTGAGGAGAGGAATTATGGAATCAAATTGGTTTTCCATAGTAGCACTTTGTGATAGATTTCCAAATCTGTCTTTGATCATGACATCAAATATAAATGAAATAATCATAAGTAATGACATATCTAGCAAATTCAGGCTACTGTCAAGAAAAACATCATTTTTCCTTACAGGCAAAATGGATCTGACTCCCGGTTTACTGTTATTCTGGATCGAAGGCTGGATACATGGTCTTCTCTCAAAATCTCTCTACAGAAAATCTCAGTAAGTATCTACAGTATTATAGAAACTTCTTATTTTCATTTTATATTATACTTTCTATCTGTGGGAGTACCAAGAAAGATTATTTGATGCTGATGGAGACAATAAAAATAGATGGGAAGATGAGGTTGGGAAGTAAGATGAAGAGTTGATAGAGGAGATTGAGCTAAATAACTCCACTCAGAGGAAAACCTAGAGGAAAGAATGGGCAGTTGGTAATTCAAGTTGTGTGTGAGAAGAGACTCATGGTTGCCTATGTCTTTCACAGTAAGGGAAGTTTTTATAGGTACTTTCATTTCTTCAAAATGGAAATAGCTTTTTTTGTATTAAACTAAAACTCACTGCCATCGAGTCGGCCCTGACTCATAGCGACCCCTCCTTGGGTTTCCTAGGCAGTATCTCTACGGAAGTAGATTGCCCAGTCTTCCTTCTGAGGAGTG